ACAAAAACGTTTTAATTGAAACAGTCATTTCAAAGACTATATATAAAGAACTTCGAAATAGAATCATCACTCCACCGACTGCCCAACTGAATTTTAATACTCATTTTGTTAATGATGGTTTAGAATGGAAAGAGATTTACAGCTTGCCATTTCGTACTTCCTTGGACGCAAAATCGCGTGAAATCCAGTATAAACTACTTAACAGGTGTCTTGTCACAAATCCTTTTTTAAACAAAATTGGTATTATTCCATCCCTGGCGTGTTCCTTTTGTGGCGAAATGAACGAATCCTTGGAGCACTTTTTTTATTTCTTGTCGTTATACTAAGAATTTCTGGGCTGAGGTAATGAAGTGGTTCGATAATCAAGGCGTAAAGATAAAACACCTCTCTGAAAAAGATATAATGTTTGGTATTTTAAGATGCGGAGACGAATTATCAATCAATCATATTTTAATAATTGCCAAACAGTATTTATATTCTTGCCGACAGAACAAATCTCTTCCTTTAATTAAAGTATTAAACCTCAAAATTAAAACGATCCACCAACTCGAGGCAATGATCGCAAAATCAAATAATAAGCTAAAAGCTCCTAATATGAAATGGGACAAGTACAAAAATTATTAGATGATATAGAATCTCATGTTTGTTGCTGCACTGTACTTGTATTATATTTAGAAGCCGAGGAGAGCTAAGAGGAACTGTGGATTGTGTATGTAGATATATGATGTACCGTGTCTGTCTGTTCATGTGAATTATGTTTGTTTGTGAAAAATGTGTGTGACTTTGAATTAATAAAAATTAATAAAATACAAAAAAAAAGAAAAAAAAAAAGAGTGGTTATTCCCATTATTTATTGACGTGATTACGCATTGACGTGATTACGCATTCCCAGCTTGTCATTCTATCGTGGTGTAATATGAAATATAATGTAAACCTGGTGGAAACCTTTTGAGTTATGCATCATTTTGTGCTTTAATGACATCTTTATCCAATTTTCTATCACTTCTCCATAGTGTTTAGGTGCTTTGCACTCGACACAAAAACCCAGAACAAACTTCTAGAATTATCAGGCCCCTCATTATAACAGAACTCGTATTGTCCAAGATGGTGGTGGTTTGTTGTGTACTGTCGTGTTCTGTGTGTAGTTTCCTCAATGAATTTCTCACTAACCTTCCTCTTCAAGCTCAATTCACTTCACACATTTTATTGAGGAGGATATAGCTTTGAATTGAATCGAGCGTGTACTCCAGAAGAATAGCTTGAAATCCCCCATTTTTCTGGTGAGCAAAGAATGATTGAAATGGAACTCGCTGTGAACAGTATTGCTATCTTTGTCTATACTGTCAGCCTACAAAGACTGCCTTGTGTTATTTAGCAATTTTTAAAGCTGATCTCTCCAGTTAAGGTAGCTATACTCGCCTTCGTATGCAATGGCGACAATAGTCAGGAACAATACTTGTAAGCGTAACTCTAAACGTACCCTAATCTGGCAAATTAGTGAAGAACTGAGAAGACAAAAACACGTCCCTTAAGAAAATAACATGTGCTTGAAAAGAATTATTCACGGATGGTAGAGATAGAGAACGATAGAAATCCAAAACCAGTTTCAGTGACAATTTGAAAAAGTTCCTCAACTTTTTCAAACTTTTAGACATGTCACAGTACACGCTTCACCATGATACTGTCCTTTTAAGCACTCAACCTTTATTTATTTATTAAGGGTCACCAAGCCATTCCCTTTAGATGACCTCGTATTACCTGTTTGACTGCAGTTGCTTTGCAAGTTATCTCTCGGGTTTGCTTATCAAAACTTTACCAATATCTATTTTATTGGAGGGCATTGTGGGACATCAATTTCAAAACACAGGATTTCTTCGGCCTGTTTTTAGGTTGATATCTAGGGAATCTTTAGACTAACATATCACTCCTTTGGGTGACCACATGCCAATTTATGTCAACTTTCTGAAAACTGGAGATGGCTATGCCAATAGAAACAAGAAGGTGTCCTAATGAATCTCGGGAGACCCGTAGAAAAACATAATTTGCCCATGGCAGACCTTTAGTTGAATTTTGCCGGCCGGTAATTTGATTTCAATATTCTTTGTAACTTAAAAGGCGATGGTGACATTATAATCGGCTATTCCCCTTCGTGGCAGCCCAAAGAATTCAATTTAAAGAAAAGTTTCTGCAAATATCTTAAGTGTTTTAACATGTTACTAAACTCTTCCTTAGAAACTGTGACCTCTTGGAAAAATGAGGAATTCAACTAAAATATTTTTCACCTCCAATGAGGAACCATGCTGGCATGGCATTCTATGTTGGTGCATATGGGAGGGCGAGTTGTGTGTGTTTCAAGAGCAAAATCTTAAACATTTTACTTATAAGTATTTTGGTACATTTTTGCTTGCACCCCTGTAACACATTATCGTAATTACTGTATGTTTCAAAACCTCCTTCACTTTCACTTCAATGACATGTGGAACAAAAGAAAGCTGGATGAGTTCCTTTATTGTAACCATTTTGTTTTACTTTTAGGTCCTCCTGTTGTTGAGATTATCCCTCCTGCACTGTCCACTTTAAGAGGTGTTACAGCAAATTTTACCTGTCACGCTGAAGGTTTTCCTTTGCCAAACATTGTATGGATGAAGCAGAATGGTTCGGTTGAAAGAGATATTCCTGTCAACAGTACCAATTTCCAAATAAACTCCCAGGGTGGTTCGTCCCAGTTAATCGTGCAGAATACTTCAACCGCAGATTCGGGTTATTACATCTGCAAAGCTTCGAACTACATATCTGATACTGCAAGAGCCTTCCTTGGAGTTGTATGTAAGTTACATCTTAAACATGTAGAAACCCCTATGTAAGCTAAAATAGCCTCGTTAATGCAACCTTAGTCCAGAAGCTAGTACTGGAAAATTGCAGTTTTGCCCTCTTGATTACAAGAGTATTAGTGGATGACTTTGTGTCTTTAAACCCTCCTCTTAGTCAGATGGAGAACTTTTGGTTTTGTTGGGCCAATGTGTCTGCATTTCGACATTGTTATCAACTTAAATGTAAAAGCTAAGTCGTCAAATGTTCTTTCATGTACATTTTACTCTGAACTTATCGAACATATCTTTGAAGATGAATGTAAATTGAAAGGGAAAAAAGAAAAAGAAAGTAAAAGGAAAGACCCAAAAAAGTTGACATGGCCAGGGCTCGACCCTTAAACCTTCCAACTAGAGAGGAGTAGGTATATTAATTGCACAGGCGGGTAAGGTACGCAGAGCGTGCAAAGTTGAAAAGTTTTGTTTTTTTAAAATGACTTTTGATGCTCATTTAATACATGTACCTATTCTATTAATTTCTGTCCTTGTACAAACTCTGTTCTAACCAAGTCCCTTTTTTGTCACAATTTTGGCATCCATAAGAGCTGTCCATAAACCCCTCTGCATTTTACACCTCATTGCTTTTTTTACTGCAGTACTTTACATCTATATCATAATGGGCACATGCAGTCATCGACTGCCTTTTATATTACTCATCTGACCAGTCACAAAGTGAGGTTACATAGCTTAAATGCGAATGGCAGCAGTCGCATAGGCCCGTCAAAACTTATTAACGGTCGACTGCCTTTCACTTTCCGGCTTTTGCGGAAGGTAGAGTTATTTATTGGTCAAGTGACCTTTCGTTTCTCTAATCAACTGTCCTTCATTCAATGATCAAGATAGTCGATTTAAAACACAATACTTTACTTAAGGTATTCCTGGAGGCTAATTTTTTTTCCCGAATATTTTTATTTTTACATATTAAAGATAATTGTTGAAGTAGCCCACTTGAAAAATTTTACGATTGGAAGATGTCCTGTTTCCGAAATATACGCGATTAAATTTTTGTTTCGAAGAAGAATTTCGCGGCAAAATAGAGATACGATGCTGGAGTAAACGTGCTAGCGGTCCATAAGGTTTGTCCTTTGGCGACATTTCTGACCCATTTTTTGTTATGAAACCCTGTTGATACAGGCGGCCCAAGCTCACGTCTCGAGAAAAAGCCGACAATTAATTCATGAAAGCGTTACGAGAGGAACCGTTGAAAATTTGAACACGTTATGAGGAATAGTATGGGGAACGAAATATGGTCGATATACAACGAGAAATATTTCGAAATATGAATAATTTACACGTAAAATCAATAAAACTTACATCCTGTGTGTCCGTTGTAGTTTGTGGCGATTTCTGCCGTTTTAAGCTTGCTTTACCATCACCGTTATTCCTGTCGCTGTTATTCCTGTCGGGTAAAACAAGCTAAAAACGGTAGAAATCGCCAGAATCTACAACGGACACACAGGATGTGAGAAAGTTTTATTGATTTTAAGTGTAAAATGTTCATATTTCTAAATATTTATCGTTGTAAATCGACCATATTTCATTCCCCATACTATTGCTTATAACGTGTTCAAATTTTCAAAGGTTCCTCTCGTAACATAACATAATAATAATAATAATGACAATCTTTAATGAGGAAACTTTTTCACTAAAAAGTGGTTTACAAAAAGGACCTCGAAAATTAAAAATTAAAAATTTACAATGAATAAAAATGCTAAAAGATGCTACTAAAAACTAATGTATCTTATGTGTAATGAGGTAAGCTGCTGAAGCACAAACGATTCCTCTAGTTCAGTTAACTGGAACTGAGACAACGGTTGTTCTAAAACCAAGTTGCAATTCGACCAGGTAGTCGTTATTTTGTCAGCAAGGCGCTTGCCTATGGATGCAAAGAAGCTATTCAACGCAACAGCAATGGATTTGGAAGTGGTGTGCTGAATGCCATCGGAAATGATGCACTGAACCTTTTCTGAGGATGAATTACGATTGCATGCTTCGTTTACAGCTTTCCACATTTTGCCGTGATCTCCTCTGGCTTCCTCGATCATGTCACAGTAATATTTCGACTTAGCAGATTTTACTAAGCGGTTTACTTTGTTCCTCAGTTTCCTGTAAGTGTTCCAGTGCTTTTCTGAGTCTGTCTTTATTTTTGGATGTACTCATCCCATTTGTAGACCATGAGCATTCATACACCGAAGATCTTTCATCACTTCTCTTGAGTTCATGCTTAACATTTCCTCCACCAATAGAAATTTCACTCACTTCCTTCGATGGACGAAACTCAAATGAAAGTTTATACGACGTGTCCACTTGTAGTTTCAGAGTCTGAGTCTCCTTAAACCTTTCACCATCAACTTTAAAGAACACTGGCGAGGAATCCTCGAATCTTGTGATGTGGATGTCCATTTTGAATGCACTTTCTTCTGTCCTAGAGGACGCCATATTGGAGGAGTGATACATAGAGTCACACAACGCGTGACGCTTTCATGAATTAATCGTTGGCTTTTCTCGAGACGTGAGCTTGGGCTGCCTGTGCTCTGGCTGGCTTGTTTTGAAAATTTCAAGAAGCGGGTAAATAATTAAAGTAATGAATAAAGTTTTTTTAAAAAATCCTCTTCAATCCTTTAACACCCATGAGTGACCAAGACAGAATTTTTCCCTATAGTGTCAGTACAATATCAACCAGATAAGTGATGAGAATAAAGAAAAATATCAATTTGAGGATAATTAGTTGATCCAGTATTAAATTCTCCGAGCTAATGTTGTAAGAATTGTATGGTTGACAGTAAGGAGAATTACAAATTTGATCTGGGAGTTAAAGGGTTAAAGATACGATGCTACAAAGACAATATGTGAAAGGGTATGTTTTTTCTCTTTTTCGCTGGGAAAGGTAACGTAGTATGCTCACCTTTCTTGCTGGCCGACTCACGAATTACAATTTAACCTTGAATCTCACAGGTATGATTAATTTTGGCTCGCTTAAAACTGTGGTGCGTCCCAAAGATAATAAGACCTGATTAATACCATCGAGTTTTTTTTATCAAGAAAAAGGCTACCGAAGAACAATTTGGCTTAAACGTCGAAGGCCCTTTGTAGTTAATCGATATCTCTTGAAGTCTGTTGAATTGTAGCATTATCTTAACGCAAGTCCCTAGCCGCGAATTTCGTGCAGTCTTGTTGATCAGTCTTTCAGATCGCTTTTTCCAGCCGTAAATATTTATCATTCTTTCTTGGGTAAATCAACTGCACTATACTAGCTTAATGAATATATATGTTCTCCTCTAAATTATGTATTTGTGTGATATCATGTCTCAAAGCCGTCAAGTCAGCAAGTCTCAAACTAAGGAGCTTTACTAGCGTTCGCGGGCTGTCAACGTGCAGTGGTTCTGGCCATCGAGGTGTCGTTACTAAGCTATAGCGTGAGCCGCCTTCTGATTGGTTTAGCGGGAAAAATGAACTTACAAAAATGGTCAACAAAGCCGTATTTGGGCGAAAGACTTTGCATTTTAAGCGCTGAAAATAGAAACAGTAGTCACCGAAATCACAGCTGCCATGAATATGACGAGAAAACGAGGAATTTTGTAAATATTAAGGTTGATTATCAGTCAAAAGAAAAAAAAATCTTGTGATAGGACCCTACGTTTATCAACTTTACTTTTGAACAATATATCACCCAGGTTTGAAATTTGGTAGAACAAGGGAAAAGGAAACTTTTAGTAGCAGTGAGCCCTCTAGAATGGAACGGCTTTCAAACAAAGTCATTTTACATTTGGGTTGTGGAAAATTTTATAACTTTGGCCATAAAACAGCTTAAATGGAAAATGGGAGAGTGCACTGCGGTGAAAAATGGCGTTTTTACTTCTACTAACTGTGTCTTAAATCCTACGGAAAAGTACCTTACCAGCTACATCAAATTCGGCCTTCTCAAAAATCGGTTTCAAATTACATACTTTAAAAAAAACAGGGATTGCGTTTGTCCAACTGAAAACGCGACAAATACGTACATAAAATACTTCTAAAATAAATTTCATAAAATATTTGAATCAAATTACATTTATCTATGGAAACGGAAAAAGAAATAGCCTAACTTTAACAGAATATTTGGTCAAAATCGGCCTATTTCAGCCGCTTTCACCACCATATGGAATATAACGCTACCATAATGCAACGCAATTAGAGTGTGCACCCCGTCTACTCGTGTCCACAGGTATACTCGGACATAAGTGTACTTGTGTCCTTAATAGCTTTTGTTTCCATAGAAGTCCTTGTGTCCAAAGGTGCACCCGTGTTCATGAGTGCACTCGTTTCCATAATTGCTTTAGTGTCTTCAGGTGCATTTTTGTCATTAGGTGCATTTGTGTCTTTAGGTGCATTTGTGTCCTTAGGTGCACTTGGGTCCACAGACACATCCGTATCCACAGGTGCACCCATGTCCATTGGTACAACTGTGTCCATTGGTGCACCTATGTCCAAAGGTTCACTCATCTCCGTAGATGCACTTCTGCTCGTAGGTGCACTCGTCTCCATAGATACACTCCTGCCCCAAGGTGCACCCGTTTCCATCTCTGTACCTGGATGAGCACCTGCACATGGATGCAAATCTGAAGATTGCCATTTTATTTTAAGAAATGTTGAAATTTTTTTTAGTGTATTTGAAAGGAAATTGAAGTACATCAAGGGGTACGTTGTGGCAGTGTGAGGGATGATTTGCGGAAAAACGTTTTTGAAAGAGGTTTCTTCACTCTTTTTCAAGATCCGGCTTCGTATGAGGATCCTGATTTGTTTCCCACAAGTTTTGATGCAATCATTGATGAATCTGTCCCATTGTGCTGTCCTGTCCAGGGGTTTCCACCTCCTCAAGTTAGCTGGAAACTGCCCAATGGAACTCTGCTTAAAACAGGAAGCACTATTTTGCATGTCACAGTCAAGACTGAGAATGACTTTGGACGCTACGAGTGCATTGCAAAGAGTCTGGAGAAGAATGACTTTACAGCTAACATCATTATTCGTAAAAGAAGTCAGTAGAAACTTAAGATTTAGGTGAAATGTGCATCACTTCCTCGCAGGGAGACATGAACACTCGAGAAAAATCATCTTGAAATTTAAGTACAACTGGTATTTTACAGATAAAGGCTTCTTACAACAACATCTGGCCTCGTCTCTGGCTGACCAGCAGCAAAGCCGATAAACAAGTAAGAAAACTGTCCGGGCAAAATAAATTTCGGTATTAAAGAAACATGCAAAAAAAAAAAAAAAAATAGATGTAGAAAACGACCTGAACATGTCATACGATGATGACATTGTCCGGCTAGGGTAACGTCATTATTCTCCTATGTTTTGTTAGAAATACTTGTGTAGATGTCTGACAAATAGAGAAGCCTTGACTGTGCTCTGTTCTGTTTTAAAGCACGCAGGAAGCGGCTAGAGCACGAAAGAAGTGTAGGGAGAAACACGAGACGTATTATGGTCGCTTTCCAGGTTGACATCCATGCAAATATCAAAGGTTCCACTTTGATTCCAATTTCTCTGTCAAGGTGTTGACACCTTCGGCTAGTCCATGTATTTCAAAACAATATCCTTACATTCTGTTCCTATGAATGTACTTGCTGATCACTACACGACTTTCTTAACATTATTCAATTCCTCGTGACTTAATTTCAGTTTTGTCTCTAGCTATGAAATGAGTTCCTATCTGAAGTATCTGAGTATCCTTCACGGTTAGTTCTTCTCTTTATCAGTGATCCTGTGGTTTAGAGCAGATATACGAATTGGCTGTTTTTTTTATTTCAGTCTTTTTTCAATATTTTGCAAACGGAAAAGCGTGCCTGAAATTTTTTGTGTTCGACGAAGGAGGTCACCGTTCATAATCTTAGTTGTCCTGTGGTTTCAAGAGTGACCTTTTCTGAGATTTTTTCGTCGACCGTCTGTAGTCTCAGCGCCAGTTTGAATGACGTCATATGTCATAAGTCATATGAGCAACAGCAATCGTTCCACCCGTGTGACGCCGATATCTAAAGACCACGTCGTGGTTTTCATAATAGTCTATGGATCGTAGTCTGTAAAGCGGACATCTAATGACTACTTGTTGTGACGATAGGTTTCTCTCTCCAAACTGGAGGACTGACTCTTCGCGGACGGAACAACAACAACTGGGGGAAATAACTCTGTAGAGACGACTCGGCAGCGAGAACGGAAACTCGTCACGATTTCCTGGTACACGGAGATCTGCTTCGAGCGAGCTTATACGGACGTCAAGAATAAGACAATCTTTGGTTCCACAGTACTTTTATTCTAGGTCAGGCCAACAAGCGACATGACCTCTAGCATACTCTAGTTTGTAATCATCAAAGCTGTACAAGGTACTTGCTTAAGAAGTAACTGGTGCGAGGTGCTATTGTTACACAAATCGCAATATTTGGATAAGGACACAAAGGAGCGGAAAAAAGTCTCTTTGAAGCTAAACAAAAACTACTTAAATATTCCATCTGTTTCTACGACGGAAAGAATCTCAAAATTAAAAAGACGGATGCAATAAACTTTAGGCCATTAAAGTAGGAAACCTAGGTGCGAATTTACAGCTCTGGTATAGAAAACAATACCTGTCTTAATTGCAGCAGCGCAGCTTAGGAAATAAAAAACGAAAAAGCAATTAAAAGTTTCTGCTTATTTATACAAGATTGGTTTGGAAACCATTGCATGAAAAGAAATTAGATTTACGCGTTTAAACTCAGCTGCTGTCTACCATGAAAACCAATGTTTCCAGAAAGACCATTAACACTTATATTTACCTAAAAAAAACCATGTAATAAATAACAAAAGTGCCGACAAGCAGGTACATATGATGAAAGCGAGTAACAACAAAAATCTATTCAAAAGCTACTGTGGTTTTTATGCATTTTTTGATTTATTGAAATGAAAGGACTTGAAATGGTTAAATGTAAAAGTTTACGAATAAATATGCTCCGAATAACACACACGGGAAAATCAGTAAATTTTCCCGTAACATTGTGGTTTCCAGAGTAGTCTGAGGTATTATCAGCAAAGCCTTAAAGGAATCTTCCACACTCTCTGTTACTATAAAAATGGTGCATTCCATCGGAGTAGGAGGTTTTAATTGCAGCTGACATATAACAGTCGGTCTTTTAATGGATCACAACGTGATCAAATGCAATTGGCCACCGATTACCACGGCTCAGTTCATTTACTTGCTTGTTAAACTTGCTTGATTTGAGACCACAAAGGATCACTTGGCACTGTGACCACCAAGTCCTGCGATTCAGTTCGCTTGATTCGAGACCACAATGGATCACTTGACACAATGGCCACCGAGTACAATGACTCACTTCGTTTGATTCGAGGACACAATGGATCACTTAGCAGAATGGAAATCAAGTATTACTGGAAAAACTCTAGGAAGAATATTGTCTGATTGATATGTAAGC